TTCGGTCATGACCCAAAGTTAATGACCGTAGGTGAGAGTATTATTATTATTGTGTACATTTATATAGAATTATAATGTATTATTGAAGACCGCAATATAGAAGACTGTAAATGAGTTTATGTTTTGCGTGTGTTTGTCACTCATTAAGTGAGTGAGTGAGCGAGTGAGGAGGAGTAGGATGAGGGGCCGTGTGGTCGAGACCCGAGTTTGGAGGAACAGCCTGTGACAGTGGCTCTGTTAGGATTTTGTCCTTCTTCTATTTTGTTAATAGAACTGATAAACAGACAGACCCCTGAACCGTGGCAAACAGGCCGTCAACTTCTTATCCCGGGTTAACGCAGTTAACTGTTTTATGGCACCTTTCATTTGCTTCATGAACATATATTGCACTACAAACTCTGCACTCACACTGGGCACTACAATGACATACCCCCTTTTGTGAACACACACACTGCTCTGCTCTGCTCCACTCACACACACACACACACAAGCCAACACAAAAGTGTTAAATTAGTTGGTAACAAACAAGTCAAGTAGACCGGTCTTTGCGCTGTAACAGCAGGGGGGTCAGAGTAAACAAATACTTGGTCCGCTGAGTACTGCAACCTTCGGGAATTATTATAACAGTCTAGTCTTCAGATAAATTACATGACAATCGTGGAACTTACACAGTGAGACAGTACAAAGGCAATTCAAATTTCCCATCAAAGCACGCGCTGAACATGAATTAAAACACGTTGGTAAAAAAAAAAAAAGAAAAAAAAAGTTGGTCGGAAAATAAGACATCCACTAGGCAACTCAATGATCGGTTGTAACGTTGGGAAGCAGGCAGTACCCATTAGGCAACGCTGTAACGTTGGGAAGCAGGCAGTACCCAGGATGTGGAGCAGGTGGAGAAACTACAGTGTAATACACAACCTAAAGCCAGACATAAACCAGACATCATAGCAGATCTCACTACTGTCTTATAAATCTTCTCGCACGTACACACACACACACACTCACGCAAGTCATGAAAAATCCATAAAAACAATTACTATAAAATCTATGAAGTTGATGAAATACATGAGTGTATGTATAATTTTGACATAAAAGTGAGCTGACGCCAAGCAGTGTATACAAAGGTAATAATAATCAGTAATTATTAACATCTCAGTTTTCCTCTTCTGTTACGGGCATTTGTTGACTTATGTAACCAGAGCACTGAGAAGACCAAACACAACCCAAAAATAATGACCCGATCCTGGCTTTAATTCGTCAAATCTGAAAGATTAGAACAGACAGACTGAAATACTGTATTTATGATGAGACGCAGCGATAGGTCGACAAGCTGGGAAGAATGAGGGCCAGTGAAGACATGGTGCCCCAGCTGAAAACAAAGAACCTTTCTCCCTGTACCACAGTGCTGCAGCCGGTCTGGTTGATAAGCTGACACTGGATATTCTCTGGTCAACACTGAACCCCAGTTTATCTCCTCTAGTCTAGAGATATGCCCAAGAACGCCAGCTCAGAGAGCAGCAAGACTTTTTGGCCAGTCAGTCAAGAACAGAGAGACTTAGAGTCTCTTACGTAACTCCTGGTCTTATATTATGTGGTAATGAACTGCAGAAGCTCCAGGTTGGGTATATAAGATACATTAGAACACTTTTAAAATGATTATATTTTTAAAAAAACCCTGATTTTATGGTGACCTACATTTAAAAACAAAAAAAACTCCTGATTTTATGGTGACCTACATTTAAAAATTGACCAGTTCGCCTTCGACGTCAGAGAGATCATCAGGAAAAATAACTGCATCCACACTGCTAGTTATTCTATACACAGTATACATACATGTTTATACCTCGGTTTTCAAACTTTATTTGTTCCTGAAGGCCGTTAGTGAACCAAAAAAATTCAAAAACAGAACCAATTTTCTCCACAGGAATCAATGTAAAATGGATTGA